CTACCAAACAGGGCTTATGTGTCCACATTTTCACCTATTTGTCCACTGTAGGTTGCTGGCATCGTTTTTGGTGACCACAAATTTTACGGCAACTTTTCGATGAGTCGCTGGTGGTAACAGTGGGCGGCGATTGATAGTAATTTGTGAGAATAGAAAAAGAAAATAAAAATAAAAAAGTAAAAAGGTCCAAAAAAAAAAAACATTGAAAACAATAATTTGTAATTCTCACGAATATATTTCATTAATTATATTTTTAAAACAAAAATAAATCAAATCCTTATAATACATTCATAAAAGGGGTTGGCTTCCCTCCAGTGACAGGAGGGTACTGTTGGGCTTGTAGGGGCCCACCAGGGATCCCATTTCGATAATTTGAACCATTCAATGTGTAAAACTCATCCAATATTATATGTCAGTAAAAATCACATTAATCGGGTATCGATAGTTACGTGATCAAATTAGTTTTGTATAAAAAAAATGGGCGATGAAAAAATAAACGGTTGACAGAAATCTGATCCGATGAGATAGCTATCAATATTCGATCAATGTAATTTTTTTACAGGCATATAATATTTGGCGAGTTTTATACATTGAACTGTTTGTATTATCGAAACGAGACTCATAATAGGTCCTCATAAACCCAACAGTACCCTCTAATCTGATCACGGACTGAAGAGAAGGCCAACCCATCATAAAAATAGACTAGTTACCATTTTTGGAGGGATGAATTAGAGACGCTTCAAGTGTGTTTGGTAACGTTTACGCTTTCAGTTTATATTTACAAAAATTTTATAAACTGGTTTTTGTTTATTTTTAGAAAAATATGAACTGCAAACGTGTTTGGTAATTGACAAAATATTTAAAAAATATAAAAAGAGTGAGAAATAGCAAGTGGTGGCACGTGGCGGCACGTGGCGGCGGAAGACGGTGGTGAAAAGTGATGACGGTGGGTGGTGGGTAGCTGATGGTGGCGGGTGGGTGGGTGGGTGACGGTGGCGAGTGGTAGGTGGTAGCAAGTAGGTGGTGGGTGGTGGTGGCAGGTGGGTGGTGGGAGGTGGGTGACGGTTGGGTGGTTGGTGATGATGGTGGTAGCGAGTAGGTAGCAGGTGGCTTGTGGTGGTGGGTGGCTAATGGTGGCAGGTGGTGGGTGGTGGTGAAGAGATATCTGGATTTGAAATTATGGTTCTCAAGTTTGTAGGATTTGAATTTTTTTTTTTTGTAATTTTAAATAGAGATAAAATTGTAATATATATATATATATATAGATATACATATATTAAAATAAACGGTATAAGGAGATATTTTTGTTGTGCAAGTAAAAACTATTTGTAGTTCTAATTGCATCAATGAAGCTTTAATTTCTATTTAATTTTTTAATGAATGTTAATAATTTAATTAAATTGACATAATTTATAAAATCAAAAGTCAGAATTAATATAATTATAATTGTAGAGACTAAATTGAAAAAAAGGAAAAATTGTAGGGACCTTGGATAGAGGTGGCGAGTGGGTGGTACTGTTATAATGGTGGCGGGTGGTGTGTAGTGGTGGTAGGTGGGTGGCGAGTGGTGGTGGCAGGTGGTGGTGGGGATGGGTGGTGGTGGCAGTGGCGGAAGACGGTAGTGGAAAATGGTGCGGGTGGTGACTAGTGTTGGGTGGTAAAAAAAAAAATTGAAAACTCAAAATAGAAACACATTTTTTGTATTTTTATTTTTTGGCCAAATTTATAAATTGAGACCACAGATTTATAAATTAAAAATTTTACCAAATAAATTTTTGTTTGAATTTTTTAAATTTTTATAAATATAAACAGAAAACAAAAAATGTAAAAAATAGACTAGTTACCATTTCCTGGAGGGATGAACTGGGGACATTTATCTTTCAAATTATTTGGACTTGGTGTCAATGGTGTGATAGTACACGGTGTCTGCCCCCCCATGTCTGTACTATAAGATCCATGAATTAACAATTAGTGGGTCATCCATAAGAAATGACACCAACCCAACCCTCTAACCCCCAAAAAAAAAAAAAAAAAAAAAAAAAAAAAAATTGAATTGACTAGTTCGGATTTTTTTAATTTGATATTAAAAAAATTATTTGGGTTGATTTTTTTTTTATGTAATTTTTTAACTTTTATAAGAAAAAATAAAATAATTATAATTTAAATATAATATTTTATTATATTAATTTTTTAATGATTAATTTAATCCTAATCCAATCCAATTTATATAGTCAAACGTAGCCATAATTGTTTGTATTTCTGGTCGATGACAAATTATCTTTTTGATCCTTGGTTTTGGATTCATTGGAAATGTTCCAATTTACTAACCTATCATCCATGGTTAAAAAAATAGTAAAAAAAAAGTGACTTTGCATGATTAAGGGTTTAATAATATGATCAATAATTGTATTTCCTTAGTCAAGAGAGAGGGGCCATAACTGTTTATTGTACCAAGAAAATTTTTATTTTTTTAATAAGAGGAAAGATTGGTCTAATTTACTTGAAACACAATCCATTATTAAGGGAAAAGTGGGATTTTTGCAAGATTTAAGGGCTTTTATTGGATCAAATTTTCTCATTTAGTTTTTGATGAGTAGGATAAAAATCTGAACTTTATCATTATGATAAGGTCTATGGTGCTTACCATGAGTTTTATTTTGATAATTAAGTTGTTTATTTTGTAAAGTCTTCTGTATGTATCATTACTTCATCAAGCCAAACCAAAAGGTTGACTCCGTCTATATCATTAATGAAAAAAATTAAATTTATTCGATAATCGTAATATTTTCATCTTATTGCGTTTGCCTATAGAAAAATAGATAGTTTATTTTTAAAACATACTTGTCGTTTATTGTTTCAGAGATAAATATAATATAATGAAAAGATTACAATTATCAGAAAAATTTAATTTTTTCCCGTGAATAATATATATGGAATGCTCTACAAAATGAACATGTCGAATCATCAAAACGGAAACGATATCCCACGGACCTTAATGTAACAAAAAATTATCCCATGCCCCATGTAACAATGCCACAAATTAATCTCAGCTGTTCATTAGTGTGAGGCTCACGTAAGCCTTACACCAATAAATAACTAGAATTGATTTGTGACATAATCACATCAATATTTTTGGAGGCATTGAATAATTACTTAATATAACTGCCAAATTCAAATTTTAAACTTCAATCGGAAGAAAAAAACCTAGAGCTAGATGGCTATAATAAGATGGGACGTCCAAGGCACACTTGACCGACAATTTAGCAAATTTTGATAATTGTTATTTATTTATGGATAAATTATGCTCTTTTTTTTTATAATTTGATATAAATTTTATTTTAGTCTCTATTCTTTGAATTTGAACAATATAAATCATAGACCTTAAACTAGATTGAAACCAGATAAAAATGGTGAATTTTAACATTTAAATTAAACGAAATAATCAAATTAAAATTATATTTAAATTCTAAGATTATATTGTTAAAATTGAATTAATAAGGATTAAAATGAAATTTAGATCAAACTATAAAAAATGTAATTTACCCATTATTTATTTGAAAATTGTTTGAGACCACTAAAACAATGAGCTCTAATAGCTCTAAAAACACTGTACCCCTAATTGATTTGATGTTTTGCTCTTTGTTTTTTTTATTTTTTATTTTCTGGACTGTTGAATTAATAAGGATTAAAATGAAATTTAGATCAAACTATAAAAAATGTAATTTACCCATTATTTATTTGAAAATTGTTTGAGACCACTAAAATAATGAGCTCTAATAGCTCTAAAAACACTGTGCCCCTAATTGATTTGATGTTTTGCTCTTTGTTTTTTTTTTATTTTTTTATTTTCTGGACTGCCAGCTCATTAGAGCTGGCTTAGTGGTCCATCTTTAGTGGGATCTATCACCACTGTATTTATTTATTTGAGGGCTATTTCTACTCTCTTTTTTACCACCTCGTAAGTGATCTATGCAACAAAGTGTCATTATTTTTTCGATATATTGAGGTCAAGTTTGGCAACTCTTAAAAAATTCAAAAAGTCAAAAAGTCACTATTCTATTTAAATCACATCATCTTATTTAAGTCACATCACCTCTCTAACACATCACTTCAAACCCAACCCAAACCCAACCTATATTTCATAAAAAGTCAAAAAGTGCACTTATTTAGTCTTCCCAAACTTGGCCTCAGTCTTGTATGTACCTGTGACACATTCAGCAGCAGGAATGCTGACTTTGTTTGGCAGTCACTCTTAAAAAATTAACTTACAAAAGATTGAATGCTAAAAAAATTGGTTTATTTAACACATTCCTAATTTAAGAAAAAATAAAATTCTAATAGCTTTTTTAGAGTGATTAAGGTGGACATTTTGATGAAAATAAATTTATTACATGAGCTAAGTTTTTTTTAGTAGAATGAAAATTTTAACTAATAAACTGGTTTTCAAACGTAGCCACTAAACATGTCATGAAGAATTACTAATATAATTAGAAACTTTTAAAATCGAGGAGTTGGCATAGATAAGGCGTTCTTTTATTGAGTCTAATATTTTAATTCATGTCGTACTTATTATATGTGATATCTTTTATTTAAGTTTTGATGTTATAAGTGCAACTTCTTTTATCTTATTCCTTTAAAGCAACTCCAGCACTATGATCTAATTTGCCTATAAAAAATACACTATTTATTTTACCTAGTCACCTTTGCTAATGTGTAATCTACTTAACCAAATCTCTTAGTTAGCCACGTAATTAATACTTAGAGAAAGATTTGTCTAGTTTTTCGTTAACTCTTCAATTGTAACCAACCCAGGAGATAAGTATTAAAATTGTGTGATTTGACTTGATAAAATGCCAAACAACTAGAATATAGAGAGCCTGTTCGAATTGCTCTTACCTATTGTAAAAGGGGGAGAAAAAATATATATATATATATATATAAAGAAAAAAAAAAAACCAAAATTTCTACCAACTCCATTATCATGTCTCCCTCTACCTCTACCTCTCTATGCAATACTCTATGAAACCCTCACTATAAATACACAAGACCCATCTAAGCTTTCATCACAACAAGCCTTCATATACCAAGTCTTCCTTCACAGAGAGGTCTTTTGAGTCCATAATAGAGTTGCCAAACAAACAGGGCACTATACAATGGCTCATCAAACCATGAGCTTTCTCATTGTTGTAGCCACACTTGTGTTTGCTCCACTTTGCTTTGCTCACAACCTCTACCCACAGTTTTATGATCACTCTTGCCCTAAAGCAAAAGAGATTGTGTACTCTGTTGTTGCACAGGCTGTTGCCAAAGAAGCTCGCATGGCTGCTTCTTTACTTAGGCTCCATTTCCATGACTGTTTTGTCAAGGTCTGTTTGTGCAGCTCTCATTTACTTTATTTTGAGTAATTGGCCGTTTGTTTTTTTTTTTTTTTTGGTCAGTTGAGTTTTTAGCATTTTGATTTTTTTGAAGTAAAAAAAAAACTTATGTGTTTGGAAAGGGATTTAAAAGTTTTGTTTTAAGTGAAAAAATTGAGGTGACATAATTTTGTTTTAGGATTCCTAATAGCGTATTTGTTTTTTTGACTTTTTAAAGCAAAAATTAGCTTTTTTAAGAGTTTCCAAAAGAAAGGTTTTGTGAATTCAATTTTAATATATAATACTTAATTTTATTTTTCCGCTAATCATATGAATGGCTAAATGATATGATTATCACCTTGATACTAAAACCATATTTTATCAGTTTATTCTTGTATTTTTCACCTTCAATGTCTTTAATCTTATTAAAATGATTATCGGTATAATCATGTCACCATTATAAAATTTATTATATTTTTTCAAAATATAACAAGAAATTAGTGTAATTCACTTTTTTATATTTTATTAAACAATTCACCCCGTCATAAAGAGATAAATACATTTTCAAGGTCATTTTACTTGCAATACTACAAATATAAAAGAAAAATTACAAAATAGTGCAAAGAGGTGTACTGTGGCAACACTACATTCTATACACGCTATTCTGAAATGATTTCCGGACCCTTGGCCTGCAGCTTCTAAATTGTGTTATTTTGTGGACTTCTTCTTCCTCTTTTTTTTTCAATTTGAAGTCAAAATGTTTCACTTTTTAGGCTGTATAAACTAGATAAGCACAAAACTTTAAATAATTAGTAAAACAAAAATAAGTCAATTTTTATAGGTTTTTGGATAAAATTTGACTTATTTTTGTCATTAATGATTTTCTATTTTTAATTTTTTAATTTTTGATTTTTTTGGGTTATCTAGTTTAGATGGGTTCAAAAAATTAAAAATTTGACATAAATTAAAAAAGAAAAAGAAAATCACTAAATCAAAAATAAACCCCCCCAAAAAATAAAAATATAGAACATCATGACTAATTAGTTTTTGTGATAGCTAAATAGATATGTTATTTACGCCAAAAAAAAAATAAAAAATAAAAAAAGTTTAAATTTGTGATGTATCTAACATATCTTGGGGTTTTTGTGAATTATGTAGGGGTGTGATGCATCATTACTTCTAGATAGCAGTGGGAGCATAGTGAGTGAGAAAGGGTCGAACCCTAACCGGAACTCGGCTCGTGGGTTCGAAGTCCTTGATGCAATCAAATCTGCATTGGAGAAGGAGTGTCCTAACACTGTCTCTTGTGCTGATATCTTGGCTCTTGCTGCTAGAGATTCCACTGTCATTGTAAGTTTTTAAGGATTGGACATATTAATAAAAAATAAATATTTCAACGTGTGATTTTGCTAATAAATCAAATCCTAATTTTTTAATTATTTCAATTTAAATCTGGAATTTCAAAATATTTTAGGTTAGCTAGCCAATTTAGATATTAGAAGCTACAATTAATGATATATTTTGTGTGATTGTACAGACTGGTGGACCAAGCTGGGAAGTCCCATTGGGAAGAAGGGACTCAAAAGGTGCAAGCTTGAGTGGTTCCAACAATAACATTCCAGCTCCAAACAACACTTTCCAGACCATCCTTACCAAATTTAAGCTACAAGGACTTGACATTGTTGATCTTGTGGCATTGTCTGGTAAATTATGTTACTAGTCTATGTATTGTTTTTATTTGTATTTATTTATTTTGTCTTCTTTGAAACCTTTGACATTGACCTTTATATTTTTTTATTCACCGCGGTTTGAAAAATCAGGATACACACGACGTGATAAGAATATCAATTTTTTTTTTTAATATATGTATATAAATATTATTTTGATAAACAATTAAAATCTAACCTACAAAACAAATTAGATTAAAATAAATCAAAGATTAGATTCGCATTGCATTAGGTTCAAGAGATCAGTAGAAGTCAATTTGTCAACTTCACATTTGTGTTGCGTCGTCTATGATTTGATATTAGTTCTATATATATTTATATATTTTTAAAATTCAACATTTATCATGTTTATAAATATTATAATAATACAATTCTTAAAATTAGCTTTAAAAAATTAAAATTAGATCCACCGTGTCCCCAAGCATGTTAGTGTCTTTTGATATATATATATATATATAATGAAGTATTTGATACATGTCTGATGTGATATAACACCCATTTTGAAGTATCGGTCAAATAAAACATATAGATTCTTTAATTTTTATAAAAAGAAGAAGAAGAAGAAAAAAAAAAAAATCTCACAAGATAGAAATCCCTTTTGACCTAAATTATTCATTCAATTTCAAATATATATTTTTAAATAATATCTTATGACATTCTACAATATACAATATATTTAAATATTCAGGGTGTCTTTATTTTCTATACTCATTGTTGAGTCCATATAACTTAGCTTGACATAAAATCCTAATTTTTAAAATTTTACAGTAATAGCCCTTAATGAAAGAATTGTCACATTTTGATAATTGTTCATGTAGGGAGTCACACAATTGGAAATTCTAGATGCACCAGCTTCAGGCAGAGGCTGTACAACCAGTCTGGCAACGGCCTGGCAGACATGACACTCGACAAATCATATGCTGCCCAATTGCGCAGCAGGTGCCCGAGATCCGGTGGCGACCAGAACCTCTTCTTCTTGGATTTTGTGTCCCCAACAAAGTTCGATAACTACTACTTCAAGAACTTGTTGGCTTCGAAGGGGCTTCTAAATTCTGATCAAGTTCTTGTGACCAAGAACCAGCAGACAATGGAGTTAGTGAAGAAATATGCGGAGAATAGTGAGCTTTTCTTCGAGCAATTTGCCAAGTCCATGATCAAGATGGGGAACATTTCTCCTTTGATTGGTTCAAGTGGAGAGATTCGAAAGAATTGCAGGAAAATAAACTCTTAGGACCATATATAGTCCAATAAATATTGATGAACTTCTACTATATATTTGGGTATTCTCAGTTTCCTTTCTTTTATGATTTTTCTGTGAGAGAGTTTCAATTGTAGCCACAGTTGTGAACTAGTGGTGGTAATGCAATAACATTTTGGTGAGTGTTATAATTTGGGTGTTTCTCTTCAATTATGATAATTTCGGTTGAGACTTTAAATCAGATCCATATAATTCTAGAGCGTACTTAGCAATATAATTGCTAAAGACCCGAGGAGTACAAGAACATCATTACACGTAAACCATGGGACAGGAGGCAATAGATATCAAAATCGACACCCTGCACAAGAAGCTGAAGCCTGCACATATCATCAGTGCTAATAACATTTCGTCTTTGAATTAGACGCGTAATCAAAACAATTTATCAGAAAATTCTTAACAAACTTCTTTTACAAAAACTAGACTCTTGCAAGAAACTACTATGCCCAAAACAAAGCAAACCTTACAATCAATATAATAACTGCAAATTTGGGGCAGTCTCTGTGACATATGCATCAACCATTTCTAGTCTCCTGAGCATAAATGACTCCCACTGTGATGACATAAATACCATGAGCAAACTTCATGATGATGAGAAATCAATCCACAACTTTTGAATGGAAAGTGGGTAACTATGAAATCAAAATGTTAATCTACCGACAACATCGGTTGGACCTACACATTGACCATCTATCCATGTAAATGGTTACAACAATCAATGAAGTAGATCTAGTTATATCAACTAATGAACACATCAATCCCAATGATCAGCCTCATAGGCCTATCCTTGCACCTATGAGAGCAAATAATATTCACAACAATACAACAGGAAATTTGGATGCACCCTAGAAGCCATCACCTCAATGACTACGTGCATCTGAAGATAGTCCCTCTTTGGTTCATGTTAAAAGCAGCCAACAATCAGAATTTTAACAGTCGAAATCATATATAAGGCATGTATTATTAATATTTAGTGAAAAAGTAGTTCCACACAAAACATTACATGTACCTGACAATGCAGAATAGGAGTTCCACAAGACCATCTCATGATCTCATCATCAATATCATATGATTAGCACAAACGATTTCACGCATACTAGAAAGATCTAAATTGAACTATGTTCAAGACAAACCACAGAAGTTGTCCACAGAGAGAGTGAATTACAGTAGGCCACCTACCAACGACCTCTGATGAAAACATTTCACTTTGGTCTTCGTGTTGAGGACCATTCCATTGATCTTCTCAGACTCAGCTTTCATTGCAGCCAGCTTGTCCTCTGATGAGGATATTTTCTCTTGTAGAATTTGTATTTCAATCTGGTACCCTTCCACCACTTGCTCCATTTTTCCAATTGCTTCGCTGTTTCTTGTCTTCGCCTCCTTCAGGGAAGAAGAGCCCATAAACAGTAGCTTTGCCTCATAAATCTCTTGAAGCCTTGTACGAAGCCATCCAACTTCCAGTTTTACGAATTCAATGTCACCAATGATATCAAGCATGGATTTGAGCTCTATATCTGTAACATCTGTAAATTTTGTCCCTTGTAATCTCTGGAAGATGCCACAGACCATCTCCAAGAAAGATGAACGTGATCTCTCAGATTGCAAAGAGCTATCCTTAGCAATATCTCCATATTTTGAGAAGATATCCCTAAGTAGAGATGCAAATTCTTCCTTCACTCTATACCCATTTACTGTGACCAAAGCAACATTAAGTGCAGAAGCAACTTCATCGAGATCAGAAAAGTCATCGCTCATTGCAGCCATCTCTGTAATGTTAAGACTCAGAGATTGTGTCGGCTCAGCCTTTTGGTCAAGATTGTTGGCACGCTCTTCATGTCTGTTCTCAATGATATTTGGTGCCTCAGTAGCCTCCATATTTGGAAGATGATTGTCCAATACAAGCTCATATGGTGCAGAGGGAGGATCAGCAGGATGGTGCTTTTCTGGGCCCTGACTTTGATGAAGAAGTTTTGAAGTAAGCTTCTCAATGTCCACCAAGTCATTTTGCTTTGGAATGGACCAATCTTCGGATTTTGCAGAGTTGTTGACGTTTTCTATTGTTTCACCCCTATTAGCCATCCATAAGTGCCAGTGTTTCTGGGAGCCGTTTTCCGTCTTTACATGTTGAGTAGGGGACCTTGAGGAGGAAACTGGAGTATTTGAGACCTGTACACAGAAATGGCAATTCATAGTATAGACTCATATGCTGCACATTGAGAAACTTAGCCAGAGAGTTTCCTCAAGATCAAAGAACTTCTACAGCATGATCACACCAAGATGAGGATAATGCAAAGTTTTGAAGGCCAAATGTGTAGGCGTTTACCCATCATGAGGCGAGGCATAAGTATTTTAAATTTTAAAATTTTATTTTAGAAATAAATTAAATATTTTAAACTGGTAAAAAAATATTTAAAAATAAATATAAAGGTGTAAATATTTCTCCTCAAGGCGTCAGAAATTTCACAGCAAAGAAGAAAGCTTGCCCTCATTGAAGGTAAAATTGACTCCCTTTTTTCCTGGTATGGAAGACAGTTATAGAAGAGATTCTTCTTTTTTATGTTTAAACTATGAATTAAACTAAGTTTAACAATAGCTTAAGATAAGCTCTCCCTATGCATAAGCATATGCTTATGTGCAAAAGACATAAAAGGTGCATATTAGTTGTACACCTCAGACTATGATACACAAGCCTGTTGGGAGAGTGTTGCCTAAAAATCAAAGTCTCAATACGTTTTGCCTTGGCCTCGCCTCGATGTGAGCCTCAATTAAGCCTTTCAAAACTTTGGGATAATGAAACATACATACAGATTAACAAAAAGAATTGCTATAATTGACAGACAACATGTAGGCGTGTCCTCAACAAGAGATATATTATTGATTAATAAAGGGATACTGTCAAATGTGTTGGCATGAGCTGTATATAAGATTTAGATTAATTGATTCTAGATATGTTTAGATTCCTTTAGAATAGGACTGATTTATTTAGTTTCCTTCAGAATAGGTTTGTTTCCTTATTTGCAGGATGTAACTTGTATCTATATATATTGTCTTACTGTTGAGGAATAAAATATACTGAAACCATTATTTCACATGGTATCAGAGCATCACCGACCCTACGGCACTCGGTAATCAACCATCTGCTAAGTTTTCTTCCACACCACCATCAATCTGGTGTGAGTCCAAATGGATGTCACTCCAGGTGTATCAACCCCAACGGCCGAACCAGCCTCAACACCGCAGATCATTGTCCACCAAGACAATTCTGCGTTTCCTACCAGCATCACACTTGATGAGACAAATTATACCTTATGGTCTCAACTCATGGAGATGCGTATTGGCGCACGTAACAAGGGTGGATATCTCACTGGCGAAGCAAGAAAACCGGCGCCCGGCGATCCCAATCTGGGAACATGGATTACCGAAAATCACAAAGTAAAAAGTTGGCTTATTGACTCAATGAGCCCGTCGCTGATGCAGCGATTTATTCGTCTTCCTACTGCCCAGGCAATATGGGAGGCTGTATCGAAAACCTTCTATGATGGATCAGACGAAACTTGTACTGTTGAATTGAACCAGAGATCATTCTCCACCTCGCAAAATGGTCGACCCTTATCAACATACTACAATGAACTCCTTGCTATTTTTCAGGAAATTGATCATAGGACTATCTGTCAGGAAGGAACAGCTGAAGGGGTGGTCCAGTTGCATTCCGCGATGGCTAGGCTTCGGGTCCATATTTTTTTGAGTGGACTCGATTCCGAATTTGACCAGGTTCGTGGCGAAACGTTACGAAAAGACCCAAAACTTGATTTGAAGAGCACGTATGCATATGTTCAGAGAGAATACCAACAGAGACAGACCATGAGCGGCTCTCGTCAAATCTCTGAGAACTCAGCACTGTTGACCAACCATACTCGCCCAGGACCATCTTTTGGCTCGTTGAGAAATCGAAGCAATCAGTCCACTGGAAAGTCTGGTGGCCTGATGTGTACTCATTGTGGTGAAACCGGTCATTCGAAACAACGATGCTATGAACTTATTGGCTATCCGGAGTGGTGGGATTTCACCAAGAAACCGCGCAAGAAGCTCGACGGGAAGGCAATGGTGACATCTACGGAGGCAGAGCCATTGCAGCCTACAGCAAACATTGCCCACTCAGGTATTAATGGTAAGGCCTTTGTGTTCTCTGCAATTTCTAAGAATAATACTTGGATTATTGATACATGTGCATCCGATCATATGACTAGGGACTCCAGTCAATTACAATCTATTTTCCCTTCCCAAATCTTGAACCTCGAGTTTTTGGTTGTACTGTATATGTTCGCATTCCCAAAAGTTTGCGCACTAAACTTGATCCTTGTGCACGCTGGTGTGTTTTTGTTGGCTATTCTGAGTTTCAAAAAGGATATAGATGCTATGACCCTCATACCCGAAAGGTCCATGTCACTTTGGATGTTTCTTTTCATGAATCTGAACCGTACTACTCTACAGGGGTCTCTAGTCCTTCTCTTCAGGGGGAGAGTTCTAGTGAAGAGAATGCGTTACAAGGTGGTGGCGGAGGAGATGTATTTATGGATTTAGAAGACATGCATGAACAGCTTGGGAACAACGGGAAAAGTGTTCAACAAAATTGTGATCAACAAAGCTGTGAAAATTTTTCTGATTTTTCTGAAACCGAACGTGAGGTGGTAGTTCTCCCAAACTCTACTTCAGGTACTCCTCACATGTCAAAATCACCAATATCTCTAGAGTTGCCCATGTCTACACCATTAACTGAAGGATCAACCCAAAATGTCATTCCTCAGGTAATCTCGAACCCCGTATCAGATGAATCTAATGTAACACAGATATACCCAGAATTGCCAATGTCTACATATCCACAAAGATCAAATAAGGGAATCCCGAAGAAACAATATGAACCCGATCCTAAAGCTAAGACTAAATACCCAATTAGCAACCATGTGTCGTCCCATAGGTTGTCTGACTCATGTGCATTTACTGTTAATCAATTATCCACTGTATCTATTCCTAGTAATGTGCAGGACGCATTGACAGATCCGAAATGGACAAAGGCGATAAATGAAGAGATGGAGGCATTACAAAAGAATGCCACTTGGGAAATTGTTCCATTACCCGAAGGAAAGAAGACCATTGGTTGCAGATGGGTGTTCACGGTGAAACTCAAGGCAGATGGCAGTATTAATAGATATAAAGCAGGGTTAGTTGCAATGGGGTATACGCAAAGGTATGGGGTGGATTATCAAGAGACGTTTGCGCCAGTAGCCAAGCGAAATACAATTCTTATTCTCATATCTATAGCAGCTAATAGGGATTGGCCTCTGCAGCAATTTGATGTTAAAAATGCATTCCTCAATGGAGATTTAGAGGAAGAGGTCTACATGGAGTTGCCACCCGGAACTAAACGCAGTTCTTCATATAGAGGTGAAGTGTGCAAATTGAAAAAGTCATTGTACGGTCTGAAACAGTCACCTAGAGCGTGGTTTGGGAGGTTCTCTTTAACAATGAAGGCATTCGGTTATAAGCAGAGTAATTCCGACCATACCTTGTTTATAAAACACAAGGAAGGGAAGGTAACAGCTTTAATTGTGTATGTCGATGATATGGTATTGACAGGAGACGGCCCATGCGAAATGAAAGCTTTACAGAAATATTTGGCTGCTAATTTTGAAATGAAGGACCTCGGGCAACTTGAATATTTCTTGGGAATTGAGGTGGCGAGATCAAACCGCGAGATTTTTCTCTCACAGCGGAAGTACGTGTTAGATCTTTTAATCGAAACTGGAATGCTTGCTTGCAAACCAGTAGACACGCCCATAGAATTGAATCATAAGCTTGAAGTTGTTCCCAATCAAGTTCCAACAGACAAAGGTCGCTATCAGCGGTTGGTTGGGAGATTAATCTATTTGTCCCACACAAGGCCAGATATAGCTTATGCAGTGAGCGTTGTAAGTCAGTTCATGCATACACCAGGTGAAGAGCATATGAATGCAGTATATCGAATCTTAAGGTTCTTGAAGAATGCTCCAGGAAAAGGGGTGTTGTTTTCAAACAATGGTGTTTCTAATATTGAAGGATACACAGATTCTGATTGGGCGGGTGATCAAACCAACAGAAGGGCCACGTCTGGTTATTTTACTTTCGTGGAAGGTAACCTTGTCACATGGAGAAGCAAGAAACAGAAGGTCGTGGCAAGATCAAGTGCCGAAGCTGAATTCCGCGGTATGGCTCATGGTGTATGTGAATTGTCATGGATAAGAAGTGTACTAAAAGATTTAGGGATTGAATATACATGCCCTATGAATCTCCATTGTGATAATAGAGCAGCCATTGAAATTGCACATAATCCTATACAACATGATCGCACCAAACATGTTGAAGTTGATCGTCATTTCATCAAGGAGAACCTTGATCAAAAGATTATACAATTTCCATTTGTCCGGTCTGAAAGTCAGTTAGCTGATGTACTCACAAAGGCAGTTTCAGGAAAGGTGTTCCGTGGTATAATCAACAAGTTGGGCATAATAGATATCTACGCTCCAACTTGAGGGGGAGTGTTGGCATGAGCTGTATATAAGATTTAGATTAATTGATTCTAGATATGTTTAGATTCCTTTAGAATAGGACTGATTTATTTAGTTTCCTTCATAATAGGTTTGTTTCCTTATTTACAGGATGTAACTTGTATCTATATATATTGTCTTACTGTTGAGGAATAAAATATACTGAAACCATTATTTCACAAAATGCAACGTCAAGATATGTCAAGGAAAGAGCAGCTTGCAGTGAATTTCAGTACCAGAGTTTGAAAAGGAGGTTTGGAAGTGATGTTGCCCATGGTAGCACCCTGAGCAAGGATCGTCTTTCTACATCGTGTTGGGTATCTTGAGCGTGCACGGGAATAATGCACTGGCAAAGATGGCAACCCCTAAATGATGATGTCATTGCATAGACTGTTATTTGTAAATGAACACAATGCAAAAAGCTCCCATACTAAAATGGAGTTAAAAATTGTTAAACAACAAAAAATCATCAATGCAAGGAGAAGCATGGACCAATTAAGCAGCATATAACAGATTTGGAATTCAGTTACAATTGAACAGCACGGCCAGTTATAGAGTTGAATGTTACACACATTGTTAGATTCATTCATTTGATGAACCAGTGACAATGAGTTGCTTGTTAAGGTGCAAGCTCAACAAGTGAAGCCTAGGGTTGAACTCCGTTGAGGAGTATTTGTGCCATATAAAAGCAGGTGTTCTGATTCAATGCCAAAGCCTTGATAAAAACGTCCTCTATTACCACAATTCACAGCCCACACAAAAGATTATTTATATATATAAAGAAAACCTCACCCTGTAATGTTTTTTTTTTTTTTTTTTTTGTTGAGATTACATGAAGCATACAGATGCTAGTAAAACAGACCAGAAAAATAAAATAAAAATCTTGAAGGGCGGAGGGTAAGAAGATGCCCATTGACAAGGAAAAACTCCCCTTCCTCACTGCAACAGCAACACATTTTTCTGACCTTGTTTGACTAATGAGAGCAAAAGGCAAATTTCCATTTCTTGCCAGAGCTCCAATGTAATGAATCAGTCTTAGAGACAGAGTAATAAACTTACAAAAAGAGGATAATTTAGGAAGCTATTGAAATATAACAATTTTTTTTAAAAAAAATTTAAAAGTAAAACGTAGCCTAGTGCACTAGGTTCCTGTCACTATGAGAAGTTTAAGGAACCACATGCAGTTTTACTTTACCCCTGCGTGCAAGAGAGACTGTTTCCATGTTTCGAACTAATGATGCCTAGGTCTTATGATGCACGGACACGGACACGGGACACGACACGGATACACAAATTTTAAAAAATGGGGGACACGACACGCTGGGGACACATTTAATATATATATAATTTTAATTATTTATTATACATCTAAATTTTTTTAAAAAAAGTCATTGGTTCCTATAAAATTACAATAATAATACAATTATTAAACACATTACCTAAATTTTTTAATAAAAATTGATTTTTTTTCAAATAAAAATAATTTGTTTTATAAATTTTAATAAAAACATAGATATAAATAAATAAATAAATAAATAAAGAAAATTAAGGCAGGAAAAGAGACAGAAAAGGGAGAGAAACAGAAAAGAGAGGAGAGAGACACAGAATAAACAAAATCAGAAAAGAGAAGAAAAAGACAGAAGATAGAAAATGAAGAGAAGAAGAAGAACAGAGAAGAACAAGTCGAAACAGGTTAGGGTTTCTTTTCTCTTTCCTCGATCTATCTCTTTCTTTCCCTCAATCTCTTTCCTCGATCTGTCCCTCTCTTTCCTCAATCTATCTCTCTCTTTCTGTCTCTCTCTTCCCTCGATCTGTCTCCCTCTCTCTCCCATCGATCTGTCTCTGGCTCTCTTTCTCCTCTCCAACAGGTCTAGGACTTCTTCGATCCACACCTGTGTGTCTGAAACGTGTCATCGTGTGTCCACCCCGTGTCCAACTGGAAAATTTTCAAAAAAGAAAAGAGACACGTAAGGGAGAGTGTTGGACACATGTCCGACACGTGTCCGTGTCCGTGTCCGACACTTGTACGCAGGCCTGAGGGATGTGCTCGTGCTTCATAGCCTAGGTCACAATAGAACAAAATTACTATTGTGCCAAGCCTTACTTCTAAATTTTTTTTTGGTTTTTGTTTATTCGGTTGAAAAAAATGGACAGCTTCACCCAACCATAAAGTTTGCCATTAGTTGGTTTCGAGTCATGGAAATAACCTACAGTAATAGGAATAAGGCAGTGTACATCTTGCCCCTGCCCGTTTTATCAGAGACTCATACACTGGATTACCCTATAATTTTTCCAAATCCATCAAAATTAAATACTAATTTTGTGAAATAATTATACTATAACCATTTTTATGTACAAAAAGTTGTTTATAAGGCTATCTCTAGCCTGTACTCAAAATTTTACTCAAATTTGAGTAAAAGATTATTTGACATGAACCACTACACTGGATAAACTTTCACTAATGCCAGAGTGGTAAATTTGAGAGCCACAAAATAACCTTGAAAGTTTTGAGTAAACATTTGAGTCTTATTTTACTTGGGTTAAAATTTGAGTAAAATTCAAGGGTAATATCACAATACACACCCCCTCAAAAAGAAGTGTACCATATGCAAGTTTATGAGTGTCAAACCAAATAATTTTGTCATAATTAATGGATCATAAGCAAAGACCTCTTTGTCATATCCACAATTACAATCACAATCACAATACATGAGTCATAATCTATACCACAATATGTCATAACCAAAGGCATAACCAAAGATGTCATAATTAAGTCATAACCAACACCACAATAAATCATAACCGAGTCATAACCAACCCACAATAGGTAATAATCATAGACCACAAGGGTCATAACTGGGGGCATACGGTACAGAAATTTATTTTTATTTTTATTTTAATTTTTAAGATGTGTATTATAGAATTTTTCAAAACTCAATTGTTGTATGTTTAGATCAAGGGGTACCCAAATTTAAATATAACATAAATTTAAGTAAAGGATTAGAGATTAATGGATTCCACAACTCATGCCTCTTAATACAAGTAATGCCAAATAAGGTACAAAATGTGGAAATCATTGTTTATCAACTGTTTTTTCATTTTTTATTTTTTTTTAATATTCTTTACAGTATATTTGAAACCCTACCATTCCAAGCGTATGAAATCCTACCATTTCTTGTTCAAAAAAAAAAAAAAAAATCCTACCATTTCCAACATGGGATGTGATTGAGACCCACCAATCACCAACTCCACCAAACTCTCCTTGGGTGGTGATTAGAGGAGAATGGAAAAAAAGAAAAAAAGAAAAAAAAAACTGGCCAACCAGAAACAGAGGGGGTAAAAGGGGTGGGGTAAAAGGGGTCCGGATCATTTTTCTTCCAACATAAAAAGAAGTATCAAAACTGATACAGACACCCACTTGGGGGTTGATCCTGAATAATGTTTGGGGCCCCTCACCCCCACCCCAGTATTTGTATTTTTTTTTTCTCTCTTTCTTCTTACTTGGACCAAGGGGTTATGAGGTAATGTTTTATAGGGTCTGAATCATTACTGGTGAACCCACCACCCCACATATACGTGGGGATCAAAGAGAGGAGGACAAAAAAAAAAAAATTTGGACCAATCAGCATTCACTGAGTGGTGGGGTCTCACTCATTTTTGTAAAGATAAATAGAGGGATGGGTTAGATTACCGGAGGAGGAGATGGAGTAGGGTTGTTGGGCACTTGTTCGTGGCGGACGCCATTGAAGCCTGACTCTGCTTGCCCTTCTTCTTCTTCTTCTTCTTCTTCTTCGACTTTTCTTTTTCTGGGTCTTCGTCTCTTCCCCATTTTTCTCTCTCTCTCTCTTTCTCACTCTCACTCTCTCTAGAGAATCTCACAAACACTTCCTCGCTCTGGTTCTCATACCATTGCTTTGCTGCCAGCAATGGCAATTTGTGCAGAGCTCGCACTCTGCTTTTGACAACTGTTCCGTTCTGATTGGCCCTTCATTTCTTTTTTTGTTTTAATTTTGGGATAAATTTCACTGGTACCCTGGTATTTCTATTTAATGCAAATCCCTCCTCATGTTTGAAAAATTACATTCCCTTACTTGAGATTTGTAATCTCATTACAAATTACATTCTAGATAGCTGATATTATGCCTTAAAATTTTTAAAATGTCTATTTTGCCCTTGTTCCCATCATTTCTTCTTCTTACCATCATGATTACATTCTATAATTTTCTATCATTAAATTTTATATGAATATATCCTTATTGAGTGATGAAATACAAACATAAATTTTATATAAAATTTTCAAATACAATGATATATTTTAATGGTGACCTTTCACTTTAAAACGAAACATCAATAAACATGATTTCTATTTACAACAATATTACTATCACAACATTTTTATGATATTTTTTGTATAAATTTTTATATATAAATAGAATATTTCATTTTTATTTCTACCATCATTTTTCATTTTTCTTTTTTTGTCTATTCACCTACATTTATTACGGTATTACCAAATACCGTCATTCAAATTTATTACAATATTACTGAATTTTTATATTTGGCGAATTAAAAAAAATTACAAAATATTATACTTCTTAAATATATCTAGATTAGGTGTATCAAAAAAATTTAAAAAAAATGCTTAAAATATTAAAAAAATTCAATAAAAATATAAAAAATAAAAAAATTAATTTTTTGTGTGAATTAAACCAAAGAAAATGATTGCTATTTATCTTGAAATGACATAAACAAAATATCAGTATTATTTTATTATTTGATGCGTATAAAGGTTAAAGGGCAAATAAGTCATTTTAATCTGACAGGGAGTAAGTGTAATTTTTCAAACTTGAGGGAGAATATATATTAAACAGAAATCTCAAGGGGTTTTAGTGTAATTTACCCTTAATTTTTTCCCATAAATGTTACTCCTCGTCCCAAAATAATAGTCTTTTTTAGAGAATTTAATTTTTTTGATAACACAATTATTACATTTTAAAAATATTAATTTTTCAAAATTACCTTTTGATAGTACATTTTTTTGGAAATATCAATTATCATAATTGTACATTTTGTGTTATTAATGAATTTAAAAGAAAGGCAAAATAATAAATTCATATTATTTTATTTCTTAGTTTTTGGAAAGGGACCAATATTTTGAGATGATAAAAAATGAAATAATGACTAATATTTTGGAACCGAGTGACTACAAAGATGCTCCAAGAAAAAAAGAAAAAAAAAACAAAAATTGAGTTTGTTTGGTAACGTTTACGTTTTCAGTTTATATTTACAAAAATTTATAAATTGGTTTTTGTTTATTTTTTGTTTATTTTTAGAAAAATATAAACTACAAACGCGTTTGGTAATTGACAAAATATTTTAAAAAATTTAAAAATATAAAAAAGAGTAAGAAATGGCAAGTGGTGGCAAATGGCGGTAGAAGACGGTGATGGGAAGTGATGACGATGGGTGGTGGCGGGTGGTGGGTGGTGGGTGACGGGTGGTGGCGGATAGGTAGCGGGTGGTGGTGGGTGGTGGATGACGGTGGCGAGTGGTGGGTGGTAGCGAGTGAGTGGTAGTGGCAGGTGGTTGGGCGAGTGGTGGTGGTAGTGGCAGGTGATGGGTGGTGGTGGTATTGATATCCATGGATGTGGCTTTATTGAAATGTAGAAACTGGTTTTGGAAATGGTGGCAGGTGGGTGTGTTAACTTGGAAAGCTGTAGATGGCAGGTGGTGGTGGGTGGGTGGTGGCGACGAGTAGGTGGTGGTGGGTGATGGTGGCGGGTGATGGGGGCAGGTGGGTAGTGAGTGGTGATGGCAGGTGGTGGTGGGAGGTGGGTGGTGGTGGCGGGAGACGGTGGTGGAAAATGGTGGCGGGGGGGGGCTAGTGTCGGGTGGTAAAAAAAAAAAAATGAAAACTCAAAACGGAAACACATTTTTTTAGTTTACATTTTTTGGGCAAATTTATAAGCTGAGACCACTGATTTATAAATCAAAAATTTACTAAATAAGTTTTTATTTGAGTTTTTAAAATTTTTGTAAATATAAACAGAAAACTGAAAGTGTTACCCAGCCAAAACCAACAGCATGCCATGTCAAGGCCAAGGCAGCCTAGTCAAAACCAACAGCATGCCATACCAAGGCTAAAGTTTGGCTAATTGAATTTTGGATAAATTACGTTTGAAAAAACATTCAATAATTTACATAAGTTTGATAATTACGTTGGACTCATTTTAAATTTCTATTTCATATCATGCTTAGCTTTATTTTTATCACAAAAATCTGTGAGGGGATAAATGAACAAATAATATTGTCAATTTTTTTTTACATTGAAATGCAATGCATATTGAGTGGCGCTATATCCTTCTAATTTTACACCCTTAATAACATGATTCACTCGTCTTTGAAGAGAATTGATTGTTATTACAATTTGTCACCTTATTAGAAGTGCAATCGAAGGTGATAAAATTGGAGGATGAGACATTTCTCAATGTATATTTTACTTTTTGTATCTTTATATTTTCATATCATTTATATTAATTTTAATTTTTTTAAAAAAATTAGTATAATTATAGTATTAAAATTATAAAACTTAATATATGTATTTTTTTAAATGTTTAAATGTGAAAAAAGTGAGTGGAACATTTGAATAATGTTAAAAAATTTATTAATTTTTTCGTCAAATATCTCATATGAGTGTGAAACTTATATGGATCCATATAGTATGAATCCTATACTATATGAGAAATTTAATAAAACTTTTAATATATCTTTAACATTTTTGGGAATATTTTGATAATGTTTTTTTTAATCGTAGCATTGCTCTGAAATGTTTGCTTGCAATATAGGGGTGCAACTCGGGCGGGTTCGGTCGGGTTGGGAGTTTGTCCAAGCCTAGCCTAAGTTGTGTTGAGATCTGCCCAAGTCCACCCAAGTCCGAATTGTAACCCGAAGTTGTCTGCCCAAGCCCGACCCGAGTTAAACCCGAGTTGCCCGAGTTATAAATGAATTTTAGTTTTTTTTTTGCAGCTACATTATTAAATTATTAAAATTTAACTCTATTTACAATTTTTTTATTTATTTATAGAAAATCATTAATACCATCAAAATAAATAATTTATATAATATAAGAGAAATGTCACTATAGTAGTCACTACAATTTATGAGTGAAAATAAAAAGAAAAAAAAAGTAAGATTTTATATTATTTGTATATATAATATATATTTAATATGATTTAATAACATAAATTACTTTAATATCATGTAATGGCTAATAATTTGTATATATATTTAATATTTTTATATATCTATATATATATATAATTTGGCCTTAGGGTTGCTCGGGTTATTTGACGTCGTTGCCCAAGCCCGCCCAAATTTAATTCGAGTTTCTGAATTTTTACCCAAGCCCGTACTGAATTTGAAAATATTTTGTCCAAGCCCTAAAAAAATTTGGGCTGTGCTCGATTGCTCAGGTTGAACCTACCCAAGTTGCACCTCTACTGCAACATATATCTTTTTCGGTACTTTTTCGGGGAATTATTTGGTGCTACCGAGCCAATGTCCAAGTGGCCTAGTAGTCACTTGATGGTGTTTGACCGATTGTATAATGCATGGGACCCCCACTAGGGAGACCCTCAGGACTCCCAGTGGGCGGTCATTAGCCAAATTTTTTTTTTTCTTCTCTAATTACTACCCTCTATGTGTGTGTGGGGGTAATAGGGGTGAGGGGATAGTGGGGGTCTATATCATGGTTGCGACCGATTTAAATGTAAAAAATTTACAAAAGTGATACAGACCCCCACTCAAAACCACCCCTAGGACCTCGATTGAGCTGGCACCTATCTGTAGCCATGTGAAGAACAATTGCATTGTGATAAGGTGTGATACACACACCTGTGAGACAAAAAAAAAAAAAAACAAATAAATAAAATAAGCAAGAAACCCTAAACCTCATATTTCCTTTTTTCTTGCCCCTGTCTCTCTTCCCTCTTCCCTCGTCCATCCGCCATAGCTCTCCTTCGTCGACGGCCATAACTCTCCGGGCACTTGTTATTTCTGTCGCTGTCTCTGTCTCTCGCTCTATTGATCTTTGATTGCATTTCGATCTCATTTTCTCAGGTAATGTTACTCCAAAACCCCTCATTCTCTCTCTCTCTCTCTCTCTCTCTCTCTCTCTCTCTCATTTTCATACATACATACATTGATCAATCTCTGTGAAATGTCTGTATATAATCTTATAAATGTGTTCCTCAAAACACATTTATATACATGTGTTCTGTGTTCCAAATTAAGTGCAGATTTATGAGTAATGTTCTGTGTTTTGTGTGAACACATTTTACATCTATGTGTTCTGCGATATTATGAACTTATTGTAGAACATCCAGAAATGTAGAATAATTATTATGAACTTTTTAATAGACTTTAATATGTGTTTTGTGATATTATGAACTTATTAACAGACTTTATATGTGTATAATAAGCCAACCATGACTATGTCAGGATTTGAATTAGAAACAGTGATATGAGGGGGGAAAAAAAAAGATAGAAGAAGAATTAAGCAAGGAACAATTATTATAGGGGAAAAAATTAGTGAATGATAAAACTTCCACAAAGTTCGAACATAATCATTCCAAGAGGGAGTAAAGAGAGGTCTCTCCATAGAATTAGGAGAATAAAGTGTCATAGTGAATAATCATTCTAACAGGGAGTAAAAAGAGGTCTCTCCATAGAATTAGGAGAATAAAGTGTCATAGTGAAGGGAAATTATAACTGATTTAAGTTAGTTTTACCATAAATCAAAGAACACAATGAATTAGTGTCTAACATGTCAAATAATTTATTACTTTTTAGATGAAGTTGTTATAATTTATTAGTGTTTGAAGGCAATAACTAAAATGAAATATTTTTGAAATAATTTATTAGTGCTTGAACATGTCAAATAATTTATTACTTTTAGATGAAGTTGCTATAATTTATTTTTAGATGCAGGAGCACTA